CAAATGCATTTTTAAGCATTTCAATTGCTAAGGAACCCTAAGACCAGTTTGCATTAACATGGCAGGGCAGGCAGTGGACTTTTCAAGTCTTACCTCAGGGGTATGTGCATTTGCCTACTTTTTGCACCACTACCTGGTGGTGCCTGACTTAGCAGTTTGGAACAAATGGTCTACTGTCAAACATCTACCTCAATGATCTAATGTTAACATCTGACTCAATAAAGGCATTAGAGAAGGCAGCAACTTCACTAACTGCCCATTTACAGGAAAAAGGGTGGGCTATAAACCCATGGAAAGTACAAAGATCAGGGCTGTCAGTCAAATCTCTTGGTGTTGTCCAGTTGGGTTTTCTCCAGAGATAAGGTTCAAGTGTTCCCAGTTCCCACGACACCAAAACAGTTGCAGGAGTTTTGGGGTATAGTATTACAGAGTCTTTATGACCATCAATACTTAAGGTAATTGTTATTCATCATAGAATCACAGAATGTAATTGTGGTGTTTTGATCAGATTTTATTTCTCAGTAATTATACTTTATCCTCCTAAATTACTCATTCATTTGGAAACAAATGGTACCGGTCTTTCCTAATACACCCCAATTGCAGTGTCCTGTTAGATTGTTGCTAGGTTTCAGTGGGGGTGGCTGTATGACTGCCCTGGATAAAGAGACACCTACATATTGTTGTAAATGTATTCATTTATTAGAGCAAGCACTTTGGACTGTTCAGAAATCAGAAATGCTATTAATACACATGGTTGCTCCACAGCGGTGGAAAACATTTTGTGAAGACCAACTACAAACAGCCATGTCAAAAAATATGTCCTAAGGCTTATTATTAATGTATCAGCTACCAGAAATCACTCCACTGACCTCAATGAAACCATGGTGAATTTATAGCGTGAATACAGCTATGAAAGATACATATTCCTTTATCACCATGCACTGGAAAAATGCATTCAAAAGGATAGGATATTGCATTAGCATAATATCTGAGGAAGACTGCAGCTCACAAAATTAAGTGAAAAGAATTGCCTGAAAAAGCAACGTCTTCACCTTTCATTTATTTCAAGTGCTTTGATCTTTAGTTTTTTAATTAAATAACTTTTCTGATTCCACTGACACTTTTAAAACATAATGTTTTTACCTCTAGGTAGAGGATTGTCCAGTCCCAGATATATAAATAAACATCATTTCAGATTTTTTTGCAAACCTATGCCTAATTTTGTAGTGCAAGCACAGATGGTGTAAAAGGACCAAACTATATTTGCATAAGAGTGAAAAATGTCTGCAAAACAATGTTAATTTTAAAATAACACAGACTGGATTCAGAGCAGGGTGAAATTATGACGTAGCTCAAGATATGAAACAGGATTCCAGTAACACAACATGTGAGGACCTTTTGTCTGCTGGCTGGTATCACATCCTGAAATGAGCTTTTGTACAAGATTTTTTAGAAGAGACTTCAATAAGGCCTTAATATATATGGAACAATAGCAGGATATGGCCTCTAACTGGTAGGAACAATTACTGTTCTCAGACATGCAAGTTAGCTTTATTGGATTTGGTGAGCACTTTCTGGCCTAGATACAGAGCTGCATCCAATTTGTCATGGGCACAGCTGTGACACAGTGAGCCTACCAAAGAACAGCAACTAGTCTGTCCGAGCAGAATACACTGAAGAAAACTCACATGAGCCTCAAGAGTGTGATAAACCAGCTTGGGGATAATGCAAAAAAGCACACCAGGCTAAACCACTTTTTTCCTAGCTACACCCATAATGCCTTGGAGGCTGTAGTGCAAGGGGAGAGTTGTCTAGACAGTCTCCACAATGGGTGGGAACTCCTCAGACCAAAGGAATTCTCAGCACGTAAATCTTCCAGTTTCATGGCAGAGCCATCCAAAAAAAGATTGTTATGATGGAAAGATACAAAGATAGAATTTACCCTCTGAATTTTGGAGAATGTAAGTAGAGACTTCTCCCCTCCACAGTAAAGCTAACAACTTCATAGAGGTTCTGGCTGTATGCACTGTACAGAAGAAAAACAAAACCAAAAAATGGTGGTATAATGTTTCCTTTAGTTCTAAGAAAATGGAAAATGAGATGTTTGAAAAAGAGGACTTTCCATTTCCCTTTCTTTCAATCCCTAACTCTGACTTTTCCACAGTCTTAAGTATAAACTACTTCAGCATCAAGGCTCCTTTGTCATTCATCTCTTTCCTCCACTGCTCTTTATCACATGCATTTAAAATTCCAACACTGAAGTATAATTTCTGTCAGTTTTCCCCTAACTATGTGCAGTGCCCTGTTAGGCTGCACTTTCTCATTTTCCAACAATACTGAAAAGTTGCCTGGAGCTCGTAACTCTCAGATTTGCACAGTCCCCCCAAAATAGACCAGCACAGATTTTTGTGTCGCCTTCTGATAAACCAGATGGGAGAACTGAAAGACAATAAAGGGAAAAGAATAATTGTTTGTCAGCTTGATCCTCTTGCCTCACATCTGCACGAACACCTGCATGAACACAGAAGAATGGGTGGGACAGGAAAAAGAACAATCAGCTGAGGTAGAGCTACTTAAATCAACATTACTACTGCTGCAGAAATGCATGTGGAACCACAGCCTAAATGTGCTATTTTAAGGACTCTTTTAAATCTCTCACCTGTCACAGTCCCTATTAAAAGAATTGATACTAATAGGACAAGGATTATATCACTGCCGCTTACAATGCAGCCCAATTTTGGCTCATTGTTTCCTTGTTCTCATTGTTCTTGTTTGTAATTGCATTACAAGACACTCAGAACACTGATCATCTTTCGGCCTATATGAAAAATACCTGACTCCCCCTATAGTCAGTGCCAGTTTCATCACGGATTCCAAAGGGGTTGGACCTTTGGAACTAGACCAGTTGGACAAGCCAGTCTGTTTTGTTCTTGTCATTTAATGGAGATCTTTCAGAGCAGCTTTGGACCACTGAGAAATACCTTTTTGCAAGCAGTTTTACTTTTCTTATCACCATGACCTTAAAAGTGCTTAACAAGAATCATGGGATGTGATTTTTAGTTAAAAAATAATTGAAATCTCTTATTTGTAACAGGCGACAATTCTAAAGTCACTCAGACTTTATCTCTGTTGTTCACCTCATGTTCTAACAGCCAGTCTGAAAGAAGAGCTATCTCACACCTAATCTTCCCTGATGTAATTGCACTACCACAGTAGGCACCCCTTGTACTGCTAAAAGAATTTTTTGTACTGAATTCGCTCAGTGCGTTTGGCTTTACATGGGGCACAGGATGCCCATCAATCATCTGGAGAAAACGTGCTGAAGTTAGCAGAATACAGAAGTACTGTGTAAATGAAGGAACTCAGTGCACTCAGGTTCCTTATCTTAAGACCAGTAAAGGAACTTGAGCATTAAGTGAAGCAAAGGGTCAATGAAACAGTCGTCACAGTTAACCAAAGTCATCTAATTCAAAGAGTAAACTCTTACCCATACATAACCCGAATAATTCCACTCAGCTCTGAAAATTGTTTTGTAAATCTGCAGAGTTCTTTCCACTTTGGGATACTGACAAAAGAGTTGTGTTTCCCTGATTCCACTAAACAATAATTTCTACATTTGTGTTCACATATTTGCTTCTGTCTCAGCAAAAGATAAATTTGTATGCACAACTACTGGTAAGTGTGCAGGCAAATACAGCTAAGAACATCTGCAGAAGTGGAAAAAGTGTTTTCAATGAATGAGTAATAAAATCAATTTACCCTTTCATTCAGGGGCACTGCAGTACAGCCTTTAACCAGACAGCTGTGCACGGTTGGTGCTGCAGACACTGCACAGGCTGTCAGTCCTGGCTCCAAGACTGACTCCGAACCTCACTGTTTTCTGTCCCAGTACAGTGAGCAACTCATATTTCTACCCATATCATTAGCTTTTGCAATTGATATTTTTATACATGGTTGTGTTAAAGATCGTAGTTGAAAGACTTAGAAAAAGCCAGAATTCAATACCTGAAGAAACTATTTTCCCAAAAGCAACAGAAGGTGTCACTGCTAACTGGTTTTAAGCTAATGAATCCCACAAGGGGAAGACACTGCCTTTGTTTCTAAAAAAAAAAAAAAAAAAGTTGCTTGAAAGAGGGGAAAAGGAAAAAGAAAAAAGAAAGAAAAAAGACCGTTTTACAACATCTAATTCCTCATTTCCAACAAAACAAAGAAAACTGAATCACTAGGTAGTTTGCAACCACAAAGTCTTTCTGTAGGCTGTATTTGAGCCTAGATAGCGATTTTCATCCTCTCTAAACCTGCAGTATTTTGCTATACAGTTAACATACACTCCCTTGCCTACCTCCACGTTGTAGCGTTGCTATTCTGTGTTAAACAGCTGCTACCTCCCATGCCAGAGACATCTGCACAGCACTGATGATGATGCTTTGTGGTTGTTGTTTTTTTCCTAAGTGTACACCTAGGTTTTTAAGCACTATAGCTCCTTCGCGCAGTGCCGAGTAAAGCCAGCCCTGTGCCCACCGCCCTCGGAAGGCAAAGCAATGCCAGGGCTGTAATTCATATAAATTCAGAGGTGAACAGGACTGCGGCTTTCGGCCGTCCCGTTCCGTAGGGGCTCCCCAGCACTCCGTGCCGCTCACAGAACGCATCCCCTGCCAAGCGAGAGGCACCTGAGGTCACCTGCATTATTCAGCAGGGCGTGCGGGAGCACCAGGGGGCCGTTCTACTGCCGAGCTCGGCTCCGGGGGTTATTTTTATTCCTTCAGCACGGGGGGTGGAGTCGCTCCAGTTTCCCCGCAGAAGAAGAAACATTCGTGGGCAGAGGGGCGGCCCTGCGGGAGGGGACGGGGACCAGGATTGCCGCGGCGCCCCGCAGCGGCTCAGCGCTCGCCCTAACGCAGCTCTCTCTGTCTCTCTTCCCCCCTCCCCGCCTCCATCTTCCTCTCCCTCCCGCTCCCCATTCATTCTTCCCCTTCCCTCCGCCTCCCTCCCCGTTGCAGGCGGAGCGGGCCCGGCAGGAGGCGGAGCGGGCCGCCGCACGTCCCCCAGCCGCTCGGCCGGCCCCCCCGCCATGGGTCGGAAGCGCTGCGTGGGGGGAGACGGCTCCAAGATGGCGGCGGGTTGCTGCGGGGTGAAGAAGCAGAAACTCTCCAGTTCCCCTCCGTCGGGCTCGGCCGGCCCGGGAGGCGGCGGCGGCGGCTCCCGCTGCGGCGGGGCGGCGGCGGCGGGCGGCGAGCCGGGGGCGTTGCCCCCGCCGGGGGGCCCCCGCCTCAACGGCCTCGGGGGGCTGGCGGGGGGCGCCGCCGGCTGCGCCCTGGCCCCGCCGCTGCCGCCCAGCTGCGGCGGGGGCCCCGCCGGCCTCTCCCCGCCGGCCGCCTCGCTGCTCGCCTCCCCCGGCGCCGGCTCCGGCGGGCCCGGCTGCAGGAAGATGGTGGTGTCGGCCGAGATGTGCTGCTTCTGCTTCGATGTGCTCTACTGTCACCTGTACGGCTACCAGCCCCCGCGGAGCCCCCGCTTCACCAATGACCCCTAGTGAGTATCGCCCGACCCCGCGCCTCCCGGCCCTCCCGGGCGCCTCGCGCCGCTCCCGGCTCCCCCGGCCGGGCGCCCCGCCTGCCCTCGCCTCCGCGCCTGCCGCCGCCTGGCCCCTGTCCTCGCTCGGCCCCGCACGGCCCGCGTGGCCCCGGGCCCGGCCCGCTGGCGCCCCCGCCCCGCGCCGTGCGGGTCCGGCCGGGTCCCGCCGTTTCACTCCCTGCCGGCCCGAGGGGCGCCCAGCGGCACTCACCCCGCGGGGCGATTCCGGTGCCCCGCCGGCGCCCCGCTCCCAACGCTGAGTCCTCGTTGAAGGGTGCCGGGCCGGGCTCCGAGCGCGGCCGTCCGAGTGGCAGCGCCCCGTCCTCTCTCTCCCAGCGGGCCGCGCCGAGACCCCTCCACCAAGTGGGCGCTGAGCGCGAGTGTTCCGCGTGAGTGCGGGCTCTGCTTTGGCACGGTGTCACGGTGAGTACCTGGAGGGGAACCTGGTGTGTGAGCACTGGTGTACCGGTATGTCCCCTGTGTCAGGCACCTGAGGTGCTGCTTGGTCCAGGAGTCCTTGCTCTGTAACAACCCTCGGAGACAATCTCATATTAGATATACCAAACCCCTCAGCAATCTACCACGTCCAAATTCCAAAGTTCCGAATGGATCACAGCTAACACCTGTTAGTCACAGCCGCCTCTGCCTCCCATGCCTGCTTGTGAGAGCCTTCACTGAGGGCTTCGAGAGCCTCCACAAAGGCCCGCTTTGCGTGGAGCTGAGCTGTGCTCATTCAGTGTCTGTGTCGTGCCTGCCTGCCCTGGCAGTGCCAGTAGTGTTCCCGTGCTGCTGCCGGCAGGGTTGGGCACTCCAGGGAGTAACTTCTCCCTGCAGGAAGTTACTGCCTCCTGGCTGGGACGCTACTAATTCTGCATGCTGTGTGAATGCCAAGTTAATGTAAGGGGTTGCCGAAATCATTTCCACCGTTTTACTCTGCTTTACGATGGGATGAAGCTTGTGTGGCGAGTTTCTGGGCTTCGAAACTGAAGCTTGAGCTTCAGCTGAGGCTCAAGTGAGGGATCCACAGGAGCGCATGCACTGCCCCTTCCCAGTGCTGCATGATGTTGGGCTCTGGGCAGAACGTGCTCTTTGCTAGTATAGTGGAAGCATTTCTGTGTGTGTTCTCCATTCACGTGCACCCTCACCAGTGCAAGTGGTTACTGTGCAGTCCATGTTTCATTAATGAGATGTAGTGTATACCTCTCGGTGTTAAAAATAATGTCATGTTTTAATGATCTTGTTTGGAGTCCTTGCTGTTCTAACACCCAGGATCTATACGTCTCTTGCATACTTTCAGCTGCTGTCATGACAACCCAGCTCTGTGGATTCCTACTTAACCTGCCACCCCAGCAAGTCCTTCTTATGCTCTCTTCATAACTCCTGTGTGGTTACATCAGAGTACCAGTAATGAAAGGAGGGCAGGGAGACTCCGCTGTGAGTTTCTTTACCCAGGTAGTTTATACATCGGTGTTTGTCTTCTTGTAGATAGCGATGTTGAGGAGCTGCTGCTCTCAGTGGCCATTTTGCCTTGCAGTGTCCTCTGTCTGTTCTCCATCCCAGACTGTCAGAGGTTCCCATGTCACCTTTGTGCCCTTTCGCTCATTCATTGCCACGAGAAAGTTGAATTTTGCCCTTGTCTCTCTGTAACAGCGTTATCGTATCACCATGGTGTGTTTTTAATTGTGTCAGAATGTTTTGCTGAAGAGATTGGTGTTACTGTCTCTGTTTCATTGGGGGAATCTGACGCAGAGGTGAAGATGACCACAGAAATGCTTTTCAGCAGTACTTTGATTCCTCTGGGTGACCTTCACCTTTCTTCTCCCACTTACTACTTTAAAGGTACCATGATAACAAATTAGAGAAATACACATCATTTTACTTGAAATTCATGTGTGTGCTTAAGCATTCTCGAGGTTCGGTGCCTGACCTTGTAAAAAGGTTGCTGTGCCAGTGGCCTTCTGTAAATGGTACAGCCGTTAAAATCACTGATGCTGTTTGTGCTTACTCCCATGCTCCTGCCAGCATGCACAGTTGTACTGTGTGTCAGACTGCAAGAACGATCTAATTATCATTTTATTTTTTCCCTGGTTGGTTTTCAGAGATTGGTTCGCTTTGGATCGTTGTGTGGCTTCACAACCACTTGTGCCTGCACAAGTGTGAGGTGGGAATAGGCGGACAGATGGCAGAACTGCTGCTTTCAGCAGCCTCGTGAGCTGATTATGTTTGTGTGGTTGGGGAAGCAACTTTGAAAAAGTTGTTCAGTATTACATGTCAAATTCTAGGTCAGTGAATAATTTGCTCCAGCCAGACGTTCAGAGGCAGCCTGGCTTCCAGAGCCAGAAGGTTTGCAGGAAGGCTTATCAATAACCGGGTAGCTCACAAAGGTAGGATGTTGTCTTTGAAGCTGAGCTCCATCTTGCAGAGCACAAAGCCCGAATAAGATCTGGTATTTTTCAGTGAAAGGATGTTGCAGCTTTCTGCCAGGAATCCTTTTGCAAGTTTTGTCCACATATTAAAGTATCTGGTCTTAGAAGAGAAGCCTAAAATAAGAGTCAGAAATTGAACTCTAGAAATATATTTTTTAATTATATTAATTACAGGGAAGATGAAAGACTTGTAAGCAGGTATCCTCACCAAGCATTACTCATACTTCTTGCAGGTCTTTGAACAAGAAAGCTGGGCAGGATCAAAGAAGAGCTGGTAGCTGAATCACTTGGGCCAGAGGTTCTGGTGTGTCGCCTTCTGAACAAAGGATGCTTGCAGTCCCTCCAGATTTTTGGAAGCTTTTGCTGCTGAGCTGAGGACCACAGCAGGGCCTGAAGGGAAGGGATTTTTGACCAATTCATGGAAAGGAGACAAAAAATGCCACTTTTGAAAGGGTACAGATTTTGGACTTGAGCACAGCCCAGACACGGGTTAAATAGTTGGCATTTTTGTGTCCCTGACTGTAATTTTCAAAGCACAGAATATGGGATGGTGGTGGAGGGCATTGCTGAGAAGCTGCTGGATCAAAGACAGAGAGTCATGAATTCAGAAGAGGAGAATGGGAACATGCTGAATGTGTCCAGCACTGTCTTAGCAAGAACAGGCTTGGTAGATCCATCCTGCCACAGGCTTCCTCTTCTCTTGCAGTCTTCCACTGATCACGCAACACTTTCCTTCATTACTGTCTTAATTGAACAGTGTTCTACTTAAAATTTCACATCACTGAGATTTGCTTCCTAAGACATCCCCTCCCTTCTTCTCAGGGTGCGCTCAGCAGGACATGTCCTTGCTTCTGCCAGTGCAGTGACTCTCAAACTGCACTGGTGGGAGTGGAAAGAATGTAAAAATTATCCTGGAGGTATGAAAGCTGATGCAAAGTTTGAGAACTGCTGTAGCAAACCAAAATTGTCACTTACATAAAATATCATTCAGACATTGTTCTTGAAGCTCTGCTGGATGAGTAAAGTTATGGAACACAGCAATTAATTGAAGGCAGGTTTTTTTCCTATAGGAGTTTAGAAGTGCAAACAAAAATACAATGGAGGAGTTGCAGAAAGTGTTGTAAAACACTTTATCCCAAACCTATTTGGGAGAAGGAAAACCAAATAGCTTTTTTCCCCCATATTTTTTACCTTCTAGACAAATACCTCACATCCCAAATTTCCTTTCTGGTTTGGTTTAGTGTAACACACCCGGTTCCTCCGTGATCAGTGGAAACAATGCTGTGTCCTGCCTTCTATTGTGGAAGTGGGAAAGGGCCGCCCACCAGCAGGCCAGGGCTCAAGGTTCATGCAGCTCACTGTTTTTCTTCAGTCAGGAAGGTGCTTGAGTGGAAATGTGTTTGCATGGATGCTGTCCCAGGATGGGAACAGTGCAAAGCGTTCAGAGAGTTTAGCGGAGCTGTGCTGTGGGAGGTGAGGACTATAGCCCTTACAGACTTCTTAGATTTCTGCTTACTGTGTATATTTCCCTTAACATGCAGAAATAATCCTTCTGAATTTATGATTCTGCAATGTTTGCCTCATCTTCCTAGTTCTTCACTAGTTCTAATTCACACTGGGTAGTGTGAATGCCACTGTTTTTGTAGAGAAGGTGTCCAACAGGTAACTCATTCACCAGCTGTTTGCATCCTTCCTGAAGGGCACTTGGGAAGCGGCTACTACTTGGCAGGATGGTTTTGGTGAGCACCTTTCTTTACTTGACATAATTTGTTAGGGGAATGTGTGTTCTGCCCCCGCCAGCTAGTACTGGTAACCAAGAGCAAGGTTCTGCAGCTGGAATGGCCAATGCCACCTTGCCTGGTTTAGGAGCTCTTAGAAAAGATGTTTACCATGAGTGCCTTGCATCAAATGTCTTACTGATGGCTTGCTCATATCCTCCTCATCTTGCAGTGGGACCGTGCCAGAGGCGTTAAATGGATGCAGCTGATGTGCATACTTGTGGTGAGTCTGGTGCGGGAGGAGGCGTCCCGCCTGCGGAGGCTGCCAGCCCTGTGCACGTGCAGGGCTCCAGCCGCTAGCAGACACGGTGCTGGCAGCCGCATTCATTGCCACCACTCATCTGCCTGGCTGCACCATCTCCTGAGACTGAAGGGCTCTAAGTTAAACAGTTTTCTAGGTGATAGCATACCTTGACCCAAAGAGTTAGCTTGGAAACGTGCCAGTTCTTTTCTTTGTTGATGACTTGTAGTATTCTGCATCAGCTGCTCCGTTTGGCTGTGGGACGGAGATACAGCTCCACTGTGGGACTGGTCTACTTGACCTTTGTACTTCCTTGTGTTTCCAGGTCTACTGTCTGTCAGTTTACGTGTTCTCACAGGGTGTAAGTAGTGATCCTGCATCACCTTGGTTCTTTGTTAGCGAAATTCAGTACAGTTCTCAAATGTGCAGCTGGCTCATTTTGTGCCGACTCGTTTTCACGCTTCCAAATGAAGTTGTGATTCTGCTCAGAGTGAGTGTAAATTAACCCTGTAA